CGTCAGAAGTGAAGATGCTTGGCAGTCTCATGGAAGGATTTACCTTGGCCCTCAACCTTGAGACTCACCAATAGAGACAGCATTGGAAAGAAGCTTGCATGAGACTGTCATAGCGCCAACTGCCCAGATTCTGGTGTCAAAAGGGTTTTATTCCTTCTTAGCTCTTTAGATTCTAAAAGGTAACAAGTAGACAATAAAACCTAACTATTGGCTGAAAAGTTAATACAGATTTAAGGGATTCTCCCTTGCTTGAAAATCAGATGTCTGTCCTCCAAACAAAATTGGTGCAGAGATTTTCATAAGCTGACTTAAATCAAATTGTTGCTATCAATATTTCTTGGCAACTGATTCCCCTCCCCCACTTTCTGCATAAATCGTGTATGCATGTTGCCTTCAAAACTAGAGGCAAATAATTTAAGACATACTTGTCCACTGCTTATTCACTTCTTATATTTAGGAAATACCTCCAAAGGAAAAACACAAAACCTTTCTCTGACTTAGTATTATAACCACCAGCAGCGAACTATTTGGCTGACTTCCTAAGGATTATCCCGAATTCTGTATCACTATGTATTTTAAATATACATGTTTGCGAGCTATTTACTCACTTATTTGTCTATCTATTACAGTACTAAGGAATAAACTAGGGGCTCTCACATGCTAGGCAGGCACTGTACCACCGAACTACATCCCCAGCAAAGCTTGTGGACTTTTGAGGATGAGAAAAAGAACAGCTCAGGAAGAACAGAGTATAGATGTTAGTCAACATGTCCTCTGTCATAAGATTCATAGGAAAGGAATATAAGATAGTTGAACAAGAAAATGACTCAGGAGTTGGCTTAGTCCAGGTAGAACCTGCCTGGCAAACATGAGGATGTGAGTTTGTGTTAAGGTAGCAAAAAGCCCCACAGGATTAACTGGCAAGAGAAAAACAGTATCTGGTGTCTCTGATTTGGATAAAGACTGATTAAGACCCAACTTTCCAGTTTCCCTAGCCAATCACCTCGTCAGAGGACCACCCATAGAAAGGTGGATCCAACTTAAGTTATGTTAAAGAGATGGGCAGAATACCTAGTGCATTTATGAGTTGGTAAACTTATCCTGCCCAGAATCCCCCTGCTTAGGGTTGTTCTTGTGGACTCAGTTATAGACATGAGGTCTCTGTAATTCTTGCCCACTTTTGGATCCCCTAACACCGACATAAATGATGGACATGGTTGTATGTCTGCTATCCCAACACTGAAAAGACAGAGACAGGATTCCTGGAGCTAGCTGGCCAGCCTGTCTAGCCTAATTGGTGAGCTCCAGGACCATGAGAGGATGACACTCAAGGCTGTCCTCTGGCCTTCTCACTTGAGCATACATACCACACTCACACTTTCATACATACAAACACATGCACATACACATTAAAGACAAAACAAAACAGAACAAAACACCCAAGAAAACAAAAAAATCAAGCTTGACCTGGTGGCTCACTCCTATAACCCCAGCATTTACGAGGCCGAGGAAAGAGGACTGACTGGCTGGAAGTTTGAAGCCATCCTGTACTACGTGTTGAGTTCAAGTGCTGGCTTGGGCTACAGAATGAAATTTAAAACAAACAGCAACAACAAAAACCTTCAAAAAGCTCAGAGGTAAAGGGTTTGCCACCAAGCCTGACAACCTGAGTTCAATCCTTGAAACCTGCATGTTAGAAGGAAAGAACCCATTCTTACAAAGTTGTCCTCTGGTTTCCATGGATGTACACAAGAGAAAGAAAAAGAAAAGGAAGGAAGGAAGGAAGGAAGGAAGGAAGGAAGGAAGGAAGGAAGGAAGGAAGGAAGGAAGGGGAGAGAGAGAGAGAAAGAGAGAGGGAGGGAGGGAGGGAGGGAGACAGAAGGAGGAAGGAAGGAAAAATAATTTAAAAAACTCGAGAGGGACTGGAGAGATGGTTCAGTGGTTAAGAGCACTAGCTGCTCTTGCAGAGGACCCGAGTTCAGTTCCCAGCACCCACATGGGCGCTAACAACCATCCTGCCCATAAGTCCTATTCTAGAGAGGGCATAGCAGGCACATGGTGCATTTACATGCATGCAGGTACTCATAGATATAAAATAAAAACAATAGATAAAATATAAAAAAAAAAAAACTCAAGAAGAAAAAGTGGCAAAACCCACTGTCCAATTTTATTCACTGTTTTGTTCCCAAGATGTGCTCATTCTCAGACATTTGGAACTTTTAATGATTATTCTGAAAAGAGCTATGTGATAAAGGTACATCAAACTCAAACACAGAAGCAGGTGTTTTACCCAAAGAAACTGTGATGTTAAGTATACTAACTATATAGCTCTCCTGTATCTGACCAGTCAGGATAGTGCTATTACTATGTCACATTAACAAACAAGTCATCGTAGAAAGTTGACGTTGAATTAAATCCATCATGTTACAATTACACCTTAACAGTTCGCATACTTACAGAGACCAATAAATCATTTTCTCTTTTGCTTTTGTTGAAAAATGAAATTTGAGAGTCTTACAAAGTCACTTCTAGTGATAGCCTATATCTTTCAAATGATACTTATAAAAATCCACTTTAGCAGTATTTAAGGATGAGAACAGATTAATACAAATAATCTTCTAGTATTGATCTCACATATTTATTCTGCATCGGAATCTTCCTTATGAAACCAGGAGCTGCATAATAATTGTTATACTTTGATTAATTGCTTTATTCAATATATGACTGAATTAATTTGACTTATACACACTGATCACACCAGTTTCTATAGTACGTTGCTTTTTACCCTGTAGCAACTACTTGGAATCAAAACAGATGTAGCATAAGCTAGAAGTACTGTATAACAAATGATTACAGCACAAAAATGTGTATGTGAATGACCAAAATAAATGCCTTACGTGGAATTTAGAATCTGAAGTGAAGAAAACATCTAATTAAGGGAAATTTATGAGAGCCTTTAGCAAGTTCTTTGATGGATGTATTTATTTGGTTACTTGATCCTCCAACCAATCACATTAACAATGACAAAAGATATGCAAATTTAAACAGACAATAGTCAAGCCAACTGCTCTGACTCATACCAACTGGGACATTTTCAGCATCTATTCAGTTTGATTCATTCTTGTGAGGATTGATATAACCAAGGAACACTTTAATACTTACGCTTGACTATAATCTGAAAACTACGCCATAATCACTGACCAAGAACAATATAAATTTAGAATCAAATTTATTTTACAAAACAAATTAACATATGAAATGTGTGCATGATAAAACCTCAGCACAATTGCATGTTTGCCCTGTCACAGCTGAATAATTGCATAGCAACAAAAAATATGCATCACTGTTTGAACCACCATTTTGATTGTGTGATTAAAGCAAACAAAACATTACATTTTTGGTAAGCTAGCTCATTCACAATTTAGGACTACATTTCCCACTCATGTCCCCCTCAAAGGACCCAGACTAAATTATCATGATTCAATCCTCATTGAAAATGCTGTGGATGCTATATTGACCATAATAACAAACTATTTAACCAAATGCCTTTATTTACTGTAGAAATAAGTTTTGCCAAAGAAAAGCCAGATGTTCTATTATAAACTACCAGTATGAGTAATGCCTGGAAATTTATCTACAGTCCCTTAAGATTGTTTAATTCTGTTTGTTTCCTTTTTCTTTTTCTACCTCCTTCTTGATAGTTCACCTGTGGTCTGCACTAGGAAGACAAGCTACAATTCCAAGTTTGGAAACTCTAGAACTAACAAGGTCTGCGAGCTGAATACATTAACTGTGATCTTAGTTCAGTCCCTAGTGGACAACAGTAGAACTCTTACTAGGCAGGATGCAGCCTGCAGAGACCTAAGTGGTCATGACCAGACAGGAACAAAACAGAGCATTTGTCTTTGTCCATCCTTTATCCTCTTAAAGGCTTTGCTGTGCTAACAGAAGCCTGCTTGTGTTCTTTCTGCTCACACTGAGAGAACTAGTTAGCATAGCCTGGGGAAGAAGCTTTTCACACAGGAGAGACTGCTGTCACCTAGAGACATGTGCTTACTTTCTACTGTTTACCTGTTACACACCTAAACACCAAAAAGGCCATGAGGTGCAGAAAATGTTCATCATTTAATAGATGATGTCCAGTGGCTTACCGAAATGAAGAATGGAGTGCTGAGCAATTTGATTTCTATCAATTGGAATTAAATACATATCACAGAGGCTCCCAGATGGCACTGCCTCTGGGAAAGGATGGAGGTCCCGAGGAAGCAGAGGCTTCTTTGTGCCCAGCCCAATCTACAGGTGCACTTCATGGACAGACAACACAAGCTCAATTTCTACCCTCAGTGTGGGCAAAAACCCCTTCCTAATGAATTCACATCAGAAGTTATTTTCTCGATTGTTTTTCCTCAAGTGAAGAAGAAATATATGACGATGTCAGACCTCTGGTATCCTACCACTTGCTCAGTTTAACAGTTCCCTTGGCTTACAAATACAATCAACAAATATTACACAGATGCTTTATAATTAATCCCTCATCATGATAATTTCATTAACGGCTGAATAAAAACAATATTTTGTGATGCTTTCCCATTCTAACTCACATAATTCCTCGGGTTAAAATCAACTTAATCCTAAATTAATATTATCATTATGATTTCTTTTTCCATCAACTTGCTCAAAAAGTTCGTGGGTTTTTTTAAACCTGAGTTTTGACAGTCAGAGTGTTCAAGATCAACTTTAGAAAAGAGAAAACCATAACTGTAATAAAAAATACACGTGTTAGACGCATAAATGGGGAGCCAGAATCCATTCAGAAATTCTCATTAGCCCAGGTTCCTTAGCTTACCCAGGAAGTCAAACCAGAGAACCCGCTTGCTTTTGCAAACACTGCCCTCCGGAGCAAAACGTAAACACACAAGTGCCCCCCTACGGAACTCTCAGCTCTCGGAGCAGGAAAGCCAGAGGCTCCGCGCAGTTAGAAACTGAAAGCGATCACTTACTTTTTGTAGCCACTGAGTATAATTTTCCATCACATGCTCCAGATGCTGAAGTTTCTGGGAAGAGAAATCCGGCTCCACGTGTGGAGCATCCCTCTGCAGAGCGTTTGTGTTGTACTGCTCTGTCGTGCTCTCACGACAGTTCCCGTCGTGTTCTGGAAGAATGAAAGTGTAGGCACACTGCCCATGCTGAATTCGGTTATATCTTCTCCCACCGTTTTCTGGACTTCGGCGCTGGTTGCTGCACCCTATGTGAGTCAGAATGGCAGCGAAGAAAGCAAAGGAAAGAAACACAGTCATGGTACTGCAAGCACTCTCCTTCCGTGCCTCTCGCAGAACTTGCTCCTCTCTTCTGACCTTTAAACTAGTTCTTTATTTCAGGTAAAACTGCTTGTTTGACTTTTTTCCCCCTCAAAGAAAGCGTTTGAAGAATCATAGAAAACTAGCCATTTGATAGCTTTGTTCTAAAATGTTACTTTTTTTTTTTTATTTCACTGCAATGATAGTTTCTCCTTCGTTAAAACTCGAGAAATTTATTGCATAGTAGCTGAGATTTATTGTTTCCTCTCTGTGTAACCGTTCAGCGTGGAGTCTGCCTGAGTCAGCTGCGAGTACATATTCGAGCCCCTTTCCTCTACTCTATCTGCAGCAGATCTGCTATTTTCTCCCAGACCTCAGTGAGTTTTATTAAGGTTGCACATCCAAGCCAAGCTGGAAGCAGGCAGTCTTTCACAAGATGACTTGACAGGAATGCATGAGTGTGCCCCTATGCTAAGGATTGCTGATGGCTTTGGGCGGCGGGATCGGCTTACAAATTGGCTAGATGCGCATGACCTCGATCATGTATGGGCCTCCCGCCCCCTTCCGCAGACAATTGCCTTGAGCCTCCCGCAGATGCAAGGAAAATCAATAAACAGGGCGGTCCACCTTAATACGCTTGTGGTGTGCATGCTGACCTACTAAAATCTATCAAGTTAGAAATGTGTTTTAAAAGTTATTTAATTGAAGAACACTACGAAGGAAGCTGGCACAATCTACAATGAATTATTTTTGATAATTCCATAAAGTTATTAAACTTTTAAAGCATTCTCTCTCTTTTTTTTAAACCTCGGGGGAAAAATCAAAAAACTATTTTTAGAGATGGTATTCTTTTATTGTATTTTCTTAGGCTTTGGGGAGTTGGAGAAAGCATCAGAAGATCAATTTATCAAGGAAATTACCATAATTTGTCACTCAAAGTAATATAGCATGTACATATTAAGTAGAATCATTCTAAGTACCTTCCGGGATATGGTTTTTAAATGAAGTCGGTTCCCTGATCAGAATGCAGCGGTTCACAGGCTGCATGTATAAGTTGAGCAACTTTCCTACAAAAACAATGTGGTTACAGTTTAGGACAGTGGTCTGAGAATTATTAATTCTTGTGGTACGTGTTATCATATATTTCACAAGAACTTCTGGTATTGCTACAGCTGTCTTTAACACTGGTGTGGATATTCCACACCATCATCTGCGGCTGCAGAGGCAAACCACCTGAGAACAAGCATGTATCAGGTGTGCTGATGAATTCTACAGGAGAAAGCTCTGTGGTTTTATTAAGGAAGAAAAACGCTCAGAAGACGTTTTCTCAAAACAGAATATAAACATTTGAATAAAGAGACAAACACAAAGACCAGGAGACAATTATAGAATTTAGTATGGCACCGAGATAGTTACTGGATGTATACATAAATCACGTTTTGTTATGAGCAGAATTTTCATCCGGACCTGGGTGGGCTTTGAGGAAAAGGAGCCTCTCCTCTGCAGTCATGGTGTGCAGACAGAAGCAACAGTGCCTTGTGTGTCCTGAAATGGAAGTAGGCCAGTGGGTGAAGGTCAGTGGTGGTTAGAAATGGGCCTTTAGGGAAAAGCTAGAAGGGAGGTCAAAACAGACTCCAGAAAGGCTGTGGTTGCTTGGGGGTGTGGGATGGGGGGAACCCTACCTAGATTCATCGGTCCTTTCCACACCAAGTAACAAATTTTTGATCAGAGGGATATAAAAGCAAGTTATACCAAAATACA